TACTCTTCTGCACCCTGAGCTATCTCCCTGTGCATAAGCAGCCCTTCCTTCTCCCATGATTGTTCTCTCCAGGGCATGTGTCTACTTGAAGTAAATGTTTAACTCACATGCCTGTACTTTGTTTGGCTGGAAATCACAGTTGTGGGTTCAATTCCAGACCTGAAGGGCAGCTAGGAAATTAAATTATTTTAAATAATTAATCTGAATAATCAATGAGTTAAAAAGAAGTTTCGAGGGAAATTAGAAAATATTTTTAACTGAATAAAAATGAAAATACAATATATTACAATTTGTGGGATGCTTAGAAGGACATTTACAGAATTAAATGCTGACTGCTAACCAGACGGCTGGCAATTCAAACCCACCAGCCACTCGTCAGACCGAAGGTTGGGCAATCTACTTCTGTAGTGATACCACATTGGAAACCCAAGGAGGGGTCTCTATGAGTCAGATCCGACTCGATGGCAGTGAGTTGAGTTGAGTATCAGATAGGAAAAAGGGTCACAAATCAACAATTCAAGTTTCTACATTAAGAAACTAGGAAAAGGGGAGACAGTAAACCCAAAGCAAGCAAAAGGAAGGAAATAAAGCATAATTCAATAAAATTTTAAAACAGAAAAATGAAGAATGCCAAAGCTGGTTCTTTGAAAAGATTAGTAAAATTGATAAATTCCTTGCCAGTCTAATAAAGGAAAAAGAAGAGAAGATATAAATTGCCAATATTAGGAATCAAGGTTGGAATATCTTTACAGGCTCTGCAGACACATCACAGGCCTGTCTATTGTTTGGCCGAAAGGTAAGCCATGGTAGTGAGTTCAGTTCTAGGCCTGAAGGGCAACTAGAGGCCATAGTCTCCAGGGTTTCACCAGTCTCTATCAAATCATTAATCCTGGTCTTATTCAGGATCTCCAATTTTGATCCTTGTCCATGTGGTTGGTAGTGCTAGCTTGGCACCATCTAGTTCTAATCTCAGGGTTGTGTAGGCTGAGATCCCATGGCCCACCAGCACATTGTTAATTGCTTCCATGTATCTTTGATTTTCTTCAGTATTTTTTGACCTGGACAAGGAGAGACCAATAGTTGCACCTTACATGGCAGCTTGCAAGCTTTTAAGACCCCAGTTACTACTCATCAGAGTTGGATATAGAACAATGTTTTTGTGTATTATCAAGATTTTCATATGGTTAATGCTTTCTGGGTCATGTGTTTAAAAAAAAAAAAAAAGTTTGTTTACCCCAAAACCACAAAGCTATTTTTCTATGCTTCATTTTACAGGTTTTGTCATTTTAGATTTATGTTTAGGTCTACTATCCATCTTAATTGAATTTTGTATATGGTTATTGTTGTTGTTAGGTGCTGTTGTATTGATTTTGACTCATAGCGACCCCATGTACAACAGAATGAAACACTGCCCAGTCCTGTGAATGCTCACAATCCTTGCTATGCTTGAGCTCATTTTTGCAGCCACTGTGTCAATCTATCTCATTGACAGTCTTCTCTTTTTTCGCTCTCTACCAGCTATGATCTCCTTCTCCAGGGATTAGTCAGTCCCTCCTGATACCATGACCAAAATATGAGAGACAAAGTGTAGCCATTCTCAATTCTATGGAATATTCTGGCTGTACTTCTTCCAAGACAGATTTATTCATTTTTCTGGCAGTCATGGTATATTCAATATTCTTTGCCAGCACCACAATTCAAATGCATCAATTTGTCTGTGGTCTTCCTTATTCATTATCTAGCTTTCACACATTTGTACCAAATTCACTCCAACTTGACGTGACCCCTCCTTGAGTTTCCAAGGCAGTGTCTCTATAGAAGTAGATTGCCCAGTCTTCCTTCTGAAGATTGGGTGGTGGGTTTGAACTGCCAGCCTTCTGGTTAGCAGTCAAATGCCTTAGGCACTATACTACCAGAGCTCCTTTGTATATAGTGAAAAAGTGAGGAGTAGGTGTGAATGTATTCAGTTAAAGGGTTGGAAGAACTAGATAATCATATGGGGGGAAATGTCCTTGTTCCTACCTCCTACCCCATACAAGATTGAAGGATCATTTTTCCTCATATGATAATCTGGTTGTTCCAACCCTATTCATTGAATACATGCACACCTAATCCTCACATATCAACTATCTAGGTATCCAACATTTCACATTTACAATGATAGTAAAAAATAAATCTGACTATTTTGTTCATTAATAACACAGGTCTAGCAGTTACAAACACCAAGGTGTGAAGTGAGAGTAACTGCTGCCTGTGATGGTTAAAGTCATGTATCAACTTGGCTGGGCCATGATTATCAGTGGTTTGGCAGTCATGTAATGGTAAAATTTGGCAGCTATGTAATGGTGTAGTCATGCTTCATTTTGTGATCTGATATGGTCATCCTCCATTTTTGCATAACACTGATTTTCACATAATGGCCAGGTTTTTTTAATTTAACTATGTCAATAAGTGAGAAGTGGGTGTACTGTAAAAATTGAATTTTAAGTTGCCTATATTTTAAATTCATTACATCATCATTTTATTCTTTATAAAAAAATATTTATAATGGAGCTCTTGTTGCATAGTGCCTAAGGCACTTGACTGCTAACCAGAAGGCTGGCAGTTCAAACCAACCAGCCACTCCTCGGAAGGAAGATGGGTCAATCTACTTCCATAGAGATACTGCTTTGGAAACCCAAGGAGGGGTTGCTATGAGCCGGGTCCGACTCCACGGCACATAACAACAACAACAACGTGTAGTAAATAACTTTGCCTAAAGAGAGTGGCATAGTGCCTAAGGCATTTGACTGCTAACCAGAAGGCTGGAGTTCAAACTCACCAGCCACTCCTTGGAAGGAAGGTTAGGCAGTCTACTTCTGTAGTGATACTGCCTCAAAAATCCAAGGAGGGGTTGCTATGAGTCAGATCCCACTCTATGGCAGTGAGTTGAGTTGAGAGAGGGATGTAGGAGCTCTGGTGGTGTAGTGCCTAAGGCATTTGGCTGCTAACCAGAAGGATGGCGGTTCAAACCCACCAGCCATTCCTTGAAAGGAAGATTGGGAAATCTACTTCTGTAGAGATACCGCCTTGGAAACCCAAGGAGAGGTCACTATGAGTGGAATCCACTTGCCAGTGAGTTAGTTTTTAAAGAGAGATGTGGCCTTTGCCCTCCTCCGCTCCTGGGAGGTATTTTCCTTGGAAAGTCCTATCTGATAAAGAGTGCTTTTGTTTACTGGGGGCCCTGGGGCCATGCCAGATAATCAAACCATGTAATTTATGGTGAGGGCTTTGGGTCTCATGGTATCACCTCAACCTCTGAAGGGGTTGGAGATTGAGGTAAGTCACAATCAGGTATATGTGACTGAATTCCAGTAACTCCCAATAACTTTGGACATATTGTCTGAATATCAGAAGAGGGGTCTTGTAACAGATGCCATAGGCAGTACTCCTTTCTCCCTTCCTTCCACATCTGTTGAAGGTCTATAATATGCTGGATGTTGCGGCTACAGCAGTGAACAAGACGACAGGTTTCTGCCCTCAACCAGTTTAGTTTACCTCTCTGAACTTATTCTGTAAAATGAAGATCATAATGAGATTAAAATGAGGTAATGTGAGGGCACCTAGCCCTTTTTTATATTTGTTCTTCATCGTTGGGAGCTGGAAGAGAAACGACTCCAGAGATTTTGTTTTTGTATCCTTGGCCGTCCGCTCGTTCGCGCAGGCGCCCTGGATCTCCCTCCGGGGAATTAACGGACCAGGCCTTTCCTGGGGCCAAGACCCGGCGGAGGAGAGGGAGCGGCTGCCCCGTGACGTCATCAAGCGGCGCGGCCTGCAGGGCGGGACCAGAGTGCGACGGCGCGGCCGGCAGACCAGGGCTGGCTAGTGGGGAAACGAAACTGAGGGAGGAGGCAGAGGCTCTGGCAGCTGCAGGGCCGGGCCTGGTGGCAGCGGCAGCGGCCTGATTTCCCCCTCTCTGCTTCCTGGCAGCTCGCTCTCTCCCCTCAGCGTGAGTGCCGACGCGCGGCCCGGGGGTAGCGAGCGGGCGGGCGTGCGGGCTCGGCATCCCTCTTCTCCCCTCCACCGCCGCCTCGGCCCCCAACCCTCGGTGGTTACCCTCGCCGCCTCCTCGCCTCTTCTGTCTTCTGTCCTTCTTTGCTCCCCACTCCCCCAGCTCTCCATAACTGGAGCTGGCTGCCGTTGACATACGTCTCTGCGCACATATTCACACACACGTTGTCTTCAAATGAAAAAAGGCCGTGGGAGAAGGGAGAGCGCATTTTATCTTTTACTTCTGAATAGGGATTGCGTTGCGAAACCAAGGCCCGAGGAGAGACTACTGGAAAGGGTTTGCACCCCTCCTTAGGGAGGCAGCAAGTAGAATCAAGCATCCTGCCTTCCACTTAGAAGATCACTGCCAACGCACGTTCTTCTGGCAGTTGTAGGTCACTTGAGCTGGGCACTCACTAGCTATGTGACCTTACCCCCTCTCGGGCCTGGGTCTTTTCCAGTAGAAAGTGAGAGGGTTGGACTGGATGGTTTGGAAGTCCCAAATCTAAGGTAATGTGGTTTGGAGAGAAGGCTCAGCATCTCCTGCCTTTCACAGAAGTATCTCGTCTCCTTTTCTTGTGCCCAACCAACACAGTCTACATACACTGAGTTTCCTGTGCTTTTAATCTTTCTCAGAGTCACTGTTCATTCAGAAGGGGCTTTTTGCTCTTTGCTGGCTCTGTAATGGACTTTCCTACAGCTCACCTGGTGGGCCTTACTTTGGGAATTTAAGATTGTGGTTTAAAGTGAAATGTGGATCTTTTTGTTTACTCCAGTTCCTCCTTCTCCAGGACAGTCCTTGCTTGTGCCTAGTACTAGGCTGCCTCCTTAGTTGGGATGAGATTGTGCACTGGGTTGACCACTTCATCCCTGAGCTGGAGAGAAGTATAACATGTGATCTAGGGTTTTATAAGGTTGAGGGGATCAGTGGCACCCTTGGACTTGATTGCTTTCTTGTGGCTGGCGTGGCTCATGTTGTAAGCCTGCTCTTGTGCCCCTATATCTCTCCTTCCCCAAGGATGGTTGCCCTGGTGGTCCTACCTTATATGCTTCTGTGTTTTGAGTCCTTTCTCTCTTCTGGGTGCTCTTAACAACCAATCAGTTGTTGTTAAGCCACATTGTATTCACCTCACTTGCTGGCTTTTTTAAATGGATCATTCCTTAAGATTTCAGGGTCTTATAATTATGTCGGTTGATCCCATTTCTCATGCTTGCCTCTCTTATATCTACTCATGGGCATGGATGATAATGACATAATGTCTACCTGTCCCCATTGATTTTTGTGGAGTGGGTTTCTGTTCTTAAAATTATTGTTTTGTACTTTAGTCCTTTGATATGGCTACCCAATAACTTTCCCACTCTTCCCCCAGTCCTAAGTCAACCACTGCTTTTACTCCTTACTCTGGTTACAAACTTTCCCAATTCTTTAATATTTTCAAACATATATCGCTTAAATGTTTTGGTAAAATAATAATAGTGGTGAAACAATAATTTTTGGTTAGTCTCTTTACCTTGGAATTACTGATTAGTATTTGTTGATTGTTGTTGTTGTTATGTGCTGTCGAGTCTGACCCGACTCATAGCGACCCCTCCTTGGGTTTCTGAGGCAGTATCACTACAGAAGTAGATTGCCCAACCTTCCTTCCAAGGAGTGATTGTTGATTAGGTTTTGTAATTCATTTCCAGTGTACATTGTTATGGCCAGTTTTGCATGAAGAGTATAGAATAACAGGTACTCAAGGCCTTTTTCTTCCTTTGTGGACGTTGATTCATGACTTTTTGTTATCTGATATCAACAACAACCAGGGGTCTCTGGGTCTGTGAGCAGCACAGTAAAACTAGCAGCTACTATTGAAAACTAGAGCTTCCTGCACCTCATTCTCAGGAAGAAGTTATTCAAGTACTGGCGCTGGAAGATGTTTAGAGTTGCCAGATCCCATCCCATTGATGATTTATAGTTTGACATCCCTACTCTGATCCCAGTGATTGTGACCCAAGGGCAGCTAAATGTCCGGATTTATGGTTGCAGTAACAATGAAGAGGAGAGCTGACCCAGAATGCACCGCCCCCATCAAGAAGCAGAAGAAGAGGGTTGCAGAGCTTGCCCTGAACCTCAGCTCCACATCTGATGATGAACCTCCCCCCTCTGTCAATCATGCAGCAAAAGGTATGATTGCCTGTGTGCTCTGAGGCCATTGGTTAGCTGGTTATTTGAAGCCCTGATGCCTGAATTGGGCAGTATACAGCCCACACTGCCCCTTAGGCAACGTAGGCAAATTCTATAGAGAGATGCTGGCTGTACACTTTCTTCCCTTCTGCTATTCTCTAAGAGTTGGGAACTTGTTTTATATAAACATTGGAATTGTTCCAGAAGTGTCTTAGTTCTGTAATTGGTCCTTCAGTAGATGGTGCCTTTTTTTTTAAGCATTTTATGTGATTTGGGTGAAAGTTTACAGATCACATTAGTTTCACATTCAACAATTTGTACGTATTTTGTTTCATAACGTTAGTTGCAGTGCCCTCAGTGTAACAGCACTTTTTCCACTTCCTCCCTGGGTTCCCATTTCCGTTTTCATTCATCCTGTCCTTCCTTCTTTCTTGCCCCTTCCTGCCTCCTACACTTTGTTTTTGGGCAAATACTGTCCTTTAGATGGCACCCTTTTGCTGTCTTAAACCAGTTGGAAGTAGTGGTGAACATCGAACATTGAGTGCTCTGTGCTCTTAATAGCTGTTAAAGATCTTGAGGCTCTTTGCTGCGGGAATCTGGCCCAATTTCATTTAGCCTTTTTCATTCTGTTTTCTCATTTCCAGTAGCAGTTATGGTCAGAAACACCAACTGTATGGGAGCATCCCTGTGTTCACTGTTTGCATTAAGCTCAAAGGATTTTACTGATCTGATTGAAACTAGCATTTTGCTTGGCATGTTTTTTAGAGTTTTGGGCATTTACAGTTTCCATGGACACTTCCAGTGAGAAATCGTATAAAGTATCTAGGAGTCTGCCTTAAATACCAAGCAATTAGAAGCAGTTCCATTTGCATTTACTTTCACTTGCCAACACTCTTGCATTTTGGATCCTCTGCTGGATCACTGGTAAACTGGAATGAAATTTGATAAAAGATGAGTGGATGTGAAGCATCCTTTGAGGATGGTAGAAAATAGAGTTTATCCACAAGTTGTAGGCTAATTGAAGGGCAGTTACTCATCAGCTTTCACTGAGAAGCTGATCCAGAGAGGAGAATCTTAATGGGGCATACAGATAATGAAGCTTTCTGTGTGGCTGTGGGCCAGGCTGGATAAGTAGAAAAGCAAAAACACATTGGGGCCATTGGTACTAGGGACTGTTGAGGAAAGGGAATATTGCTTCTTCCCTGGGATTTGAGCAGCTTGGTGAAGGTAGAGAGTCTCCTTGGATAGGGCTCTGGGGTATTGGAAAGACAACCTACAAGGGAATAAAAGGGGAGAGGGTGTCAGGGCAATAAGTAATACCCTGGTGGTAGAGGTACCTGGTTCTAAGTAAATCTCGGGGGACATTTGTTCTCAAGTAACATCTCTTTAAAGTAAGGAGAAGCAACTTTTAGGTGAAGGAAGGTAAGTGTATGAAGTTAAGAATCCTTTAGGGGAAGCAATCTAATTTAAATTTCAGGCTTTTAAATGTGTTAATTGTTTCCCTCCCCTCACACTCCGTTTAATTTTACCAAATAGTTCTAGCCTTTCTGAAAGTAGTATCATATGACTCAGCCAGGGTTGGCCATTGCTGGCATGTGCACAGAATAGAAATCCAGAGGTGGCCCTTATATGTGTCCAGTAGAAGGCCAGTTGGTCCCTTTTTTATGCAGGGAATGAAGTAGGAGGCAAAAGCAAAGCAACATTGCTAGATATCCCTGGGTCAGCTTACCTTAGGGAGGAGCAGCTCCACAATGACACAAGAACTCTGAGGGCTAGAGTCTGGTGTCTTTCTCAGACTGTTCACTGTGCCCCAGAATGCTTGGCTTGGAGTAAAATTCTGAGTAAATATTTACTGAATGGAATTGATAGAAGGCAACAATAGTATCTTTTCCAAGAAGCTTAAAAATCTTTCACATCTTTTATTTTGCCTATCCTTCCTCCGGTCTACAGAAGATCATTTCATTAAGTGCTTAATATTTGTATCATTGTGTTCTATGTTTGCTTCTCTTATACATCCCCTGGACAGTAGTTTGCTGTTCACCTAGTAGCTACACATCCCTTGAGGTGTATACACAGCTTACTTATTAGAATCATTACATTAAAACAGATGCATTTCCTTTTGCTTCAACACTTCTGTCTGGACATACTTTTCAAATTAGATGATTGAGAAATGCTCTTTAGGGAGGGCAATTAGAAAAACAAAAACAACAGTACTTACTCTTTCTCTCTGCATGGGCCTTCTTACTGCTTCCTCTGCTAGGTCAATGTAATGACTCATTAATAGATCTATTTTGTTCAACCAGTTTGTTTATTTTACATTATTCACAAGATAGCTGCATTACTGACATCTGGCCAGAGTAATGGAGGAAAGGCATGTGGTTGTCATGGCCAATATTTATCTTGTATTCTTTCGACAATTTTAAGAGGAATTTAAAGGCATTGGCAAGCATAAATAAACTCTTGGAAATTTGCTGCAGGTTTTGAAGTAAGGAGAGGTAGATGAGGTCATTTTGTTCTTTTTGGTTGTTTCTCCAAGGAAATGGTCTATATACCCCAAGGATCTTTCCTTCTCTCCTCAATGGTGGAGCCAGTTTGGTCTCCTGGCCCTTCTGCAGCGAGTTGCTTCGGAAGTTGTCAGTCTTCTTCACCAGCACCTCACTAAAAATGCT